CACCTCTACCAGCAGCAACCTTAGTTTTTCCCGGGAAGTCTCCCATCCAGGTACTGATCTGGCTCACACCTGCTGAGCTTCAGTGGGTTGCCAGTTGTGAGTTACAGAGTGATATGGCTGCTGACCGTGAAATAAACATTTCAGCTCCCGTACTGGCTCAGGAAACTCATTTTCTCTCTCTCCACTACTAACCTCTTCTCTAACCACCTAATTCAGGCACAAACATAGAAATCAAGCTTAAAGCAGTCACCGCAGTGATGGTCTCTAGGGGAATGACAGGGAGGCATTGCTTCCAAGGAATTCCAAAATACTGCCCATCAGTCATTCAAGCCATAAGTCTTCTTGTTACAAATCAGGCTTTGCCTTATATCAGAGGTGTAAACCACAAAAACAGAGAGGACTCCCCCTGCACAGCGTTTTCATTAAAGTCATGTTTTATGAATTGCACTCTCTTACAAAAGGCAACACCAAATGCTCAATATTTCAAGCCTATTACCTTATTTTGAGTACATTTTCATATTCAAAGGTGGTGTGTTCCGGTAAAATTGTAATATTTTATACTGAAACTTTGTATAAAAGTATTATAGCTCATAAAACCAGAAGTGTGTCCCAAAAAATGGTATTAAAAACTGCTTTTATTGAAAAAATGTATTAATCCTCAGACAGCAATTGAAAAGGAAGAAAGGGGAAAAATGTCTAGTTCATGTCCAAATACTGTTATGTAAGTGTATTAAAAATGGCATTTAATTTAATTAAAGGGCCTGGGAGGACAGATTAAGCTACCTACCCATGTTCTTGAAAGCGATACCCTGGCACCTTTCAAAAAACGGATGGATGAGCTCTTTAGATCAATTAGCTATTAACAACTAAACAAGCTAGAAAGGCTTAATTGCCTCCTTTCATTTGTAACTTTCTTATGTTCTTGTGTCATTACTCAAACTATTTCAGAGCAAAAATCCAGTCCTGTACAAAACGGAAAAAATGGAATTGCTAGATGCTAGATCAAAACAATGGCAATGAACTTTTTTTTCCTCATGCGCCACTGGATGAATAACAGATGATGGAAAACTCGCCCTACAATTACTTCTAGCACAAAACGTCACCTACAAGCCAAACATCGTTTGTTTTTTTCCCCAGTCTACTGTGGTTACACAGAGAAGTTAACGGTCATCAACATCTGCCAATGTCAGTGGTCATGCACTGAAGTGATTTTCGTATAACCGCTTAGACATGGGAATGTTTATGGAACTGTCTTACTCCCTCAGACCAACATGAGCAATTGCCAAGAATTATAAAGATATAACATACTGTTTTTTTATTAAATTACAATTACTTTTCATTATACACCCACTCAGTTTGGATCTGTCAAATGGCTTTTTCTGCCACAGCAACTACCCCTGTACCCACACAGGGACAACGAGAAAGCACAGAAAAGGCTCTTCAAACCCACCCACTCTCCAAGCTGTCCATCTCCTGACAACAGACAGGAGTTTCACAGCTGAATGGAGGAGTGGAACATCCTGCACTGTCCTTCCTAAGGAGCCTAGAAAGTTGCATGCTACTGTTTTGTTGAGGATTGATGTGTTTGGATCATGACCCAGGCTTGCTACGGTGCATTGAGACAGCAGCTTTTACCAATTGATCCACTTACAGGCCCATAATCTGGTATTTTGACAAATGCTTCGCCAAATGAAGCATCCAGAGTCCCACTTTTACACAGACCCATTTTAAACCAGTTTGTGCAAGGGGTAAATATAGCACTCTCCTGCTGTCTGCACACTTTCACAGAGTATAACTGGCAGATATTTTACAATCCTGTACCTTGTGCACATTTTTAAGGTTGAGGCAACTCAACACAGCAAGCTGTTTACTGCTGGTTTGCACATGATGAGTCACCACAGTCTCTATGGCAGCAGAGGCTTGAAGTTTTTAGCTGTACGCAGCCTCCCACCTGTGCACCTGTTCACAATCAGACACTGTTTGAAACTGAAGCTCTCACAAGCCGATTCCCTTAAAATTGCAGAAAATATACACCAGAATCCATAAAAACAAGTGCACAAAGAAAACAGAAGATGGGATTAGGTTAAAGCTGGTTTTATCAGCCTTTTTCAGCTGATTTAAAATCCAGTCACGTTCATTTTGTTTTGATAAGGTACTAGGTTCATGAGCTGGCAGGGGAACACGCAGTCTGAAATCCAAGACTGACACAGAATAGAACATGCACATAGACAAGCTATTAAGCTGCGAAAGGTCTTGTGTTTTGTTCTTTCAGTGAAAATGGACAATAATGGACATCTATTTTAGTCTGATTTCTCATATCTGATAGGGTCCACAATCTCCAATGAAGGACACCACAAACTGTAAAAAAAGTAAACTGACTGGGATGTTGTCAAGATTTCAGGTTCTTAGGGCTTGTCTGCCCCATTCCTTTTCCCAGTCCTTTCCCATTAACTCACAGCTGAAGGGGTGTGTTGCCTCTTGCTTTCCTTGTCTTGACCTCTCATCTGAGCACATTCCAGTGTCCGACTGCAGCGGCTCTACATGTGAGACGATCCTTTACGGAGGACAAACCCCAGAGACAGCGCTCACCTGCAGTTCTTATTTTAGCATTAACTTGGCTATTACCAAAAGCTACTGATCACCGTTGGAAAAATAAACTGGACTGCATGAGCCAATGAAGTGAATCTGACTTATCGCAGATCTATAATTCGAAGAAAATGAGGTAATACAAATACGAGACATATCTTCATGGAGCGAAGCGATACGGCAGCAGTGAGAGGTGGAAGCAGTCCGCAGGTCCGAGGTTTTGGGAACTCTTACCTGGAGTCATTGGAGCAGTTGAATGTGCCAGTGCGGATCCCAAAATGCGACACCTTCTTCACCATTTTCCCCCAGTTGGTTTTACTCACCAGCGGGTCTCGGTCTTTGGCGATGACCTGCAAGAAAGCAGACACCTTCAGCAACTTCACACTGTGGAAGGACCATGCTCTGGGGTTCTCAGCTATGTCCTAATTTGTGTTTAAACTATGGAGGAAAAGAGGGAAAAACAAAAAGAAAGGGGCCACCAATTTCAAAAGCCTGCCAAACAAAACCACATGAGATGTCAAGTCAGTAGACCGGCACGTTCTTTCCTTCTGGACAGCAAAGACGCTCAATGTTCTGAGGGAAGAGTTTAAGAGCTGCACACCACAGTGCAGTTTTCACATACGTGTTTCTTACACACTGCTAAAACAATCAGCCACTGAATCATGAAAATATCATCATATAATATTTTGTTTGTTCTCTTAGCTTTTATTTCATTTCTTAGGCATCACACATGGCATCAGTACTTCATCAAACTGACATGTTTTTAACCTTCTTGTTAAACCTAGCCTTTTGCCTCCAGGAACCAAGGGCTTGCACAAAATGAGACCACTTTAGGATAAAGTTTTAAGTGCTGTAAAAACCCTTAACTAGCAGGTAATGCCTTTAGCTGTCAGTAACTCACTTATAGTGGACCCCACTCTACGTCTCCAAGTACTGCATGCAGCTGATCCACACCATTGACACGTTTGACTATTGAGCACGCAGAAACTCATTTTGCATTATTTAGCTATTTTGCAACATCCTAACCAAAATATCAGAAAACATTTAAGAGCGGGGTCATGCTCCCGAGCAATGTGTGAAAGCAGTAATTTCAGTAATGGCACATGTATAGATTTCTGTCACATCTGATACTCTTCCAAAACTAAAAAGCTTGCAAAGTAGCATTTTTAAAATGGGACATGCACGCCAACACATTCATCATTGCCTCACTGAAGGGAATGACAGCTGTATACTAGACCTCTCCTTCTGTTACAATTCCACACAAGAAAACCGCCGATTTGAATGCAGTCCATGGTCCTGACCTGCGGTTTTTCCATCTTTAATAAAGACTTCTTATTTAAGCTAATGCCTTGACTACAGCCCTCTCAGCACCTTCACACTAATGAAGACTGCTCCTACGAAGCCTTTGCCCTTGAGGCAATATTTTCATGCTTGTCTGAAAACTAAGTGATGCAGACAAACAGGCCCAGCTTTGGATCCAGTGACAAAAGATGATTTGCAAATGGACCGAATAAAAGATATATAGCAAATACTGCTCTTAAATTGCAGGAGGTGTACAGGCTTTTGTTGGGGTTAAGTGCTCGATGAACACCAAATCCAAATAATCTAGGAATCGTTTTCTGGAGAGACTTAAAAGCAAATTACTTCGGATATCTTTAACCAGCTTAAAAAGTGGTAATATTTTAACAATAAGAAAACGTATTTTATAAAGCACCATTAAAAGTGGTTCCACAAAGTGCAAAGTGTCAGATAAAAAGCACAAGCACACAATGAGAAGCGGCAGCAAAATTACATAAAACGTTCGGCTTAAGAGCTGGGCAAAAGGTTTCTGGGCAAACGAGCTGAAGGAAGCTACACAACTCAGGGCTGCAGTTTAGGCTGGTCAGGCCAGGAACCATTATTTCTTTTCCGTAGCAACAGAGCTTGGGAACGAGTCAGGGCTTCTCAGCCCACTGAGGCGTGTGCTATTTTTAATTCACTCCGCTCTCAGAAAGGCATCTAATTGCCCCATGGATGTTCCCAAAGGCAAAGTCAAGAACACTTTCACCTTAAATACCTCACCCAGCAGAAATGTACGCCACATGGCCTTCCCCCCTGACAGGGGTTTAATGTCAGTCTTTGACTCAAATTCATTTTTTATTGTTTTTTCCTATCCCACTGCTTTATGTCCGGGTTGGAGTGAAGTACGTGCTGCTGACTTAATTACAACAACCGTTCCCAAAGGACTGGCAGTAGAAGTGTTTTAGAAGTTTTCTTTTAAGAACTGCTGTACCACTAAAAACAGACCTCATAAACAAAGTACCACAACACAACAAGTCCAGTGGCATTGCAGCATTAGTGTTTTAAATAATACAGTCCTGTGACTTTTGCAATACCCTCATTCCTATAGCAAAAGAAAAGTTCATGTCCCACAGTGTCATTCAGAATTATTCCTACAAGGCACCGTAAACGAAAGAAACAAATCAATACGAAAGAAAAAAAAAACTGAGGCCTCTTAGAAAACAACACATTGACTACCTTTAACCGGGAATGGGCTGCTTATCGCACAGACTGATTTCAAGTGCTGGAACTGGAAGTATGAAATGTTTATCCAACCCCCAGCCTCTGCCCCCTAAGTCCACAGAGTGATCAGTTTTCAAATGAGAACCTAGAACTTGCTTACGTGGTCATCTGGAGCACTGCCTGGTTTCCGATTTTACAGAGCATATCATCTGCAGCAATTTAACTTATTAAAAAAGTGCTGAGAGCAGGTGGACCTTTATACAGTATGCCCTTGCATGTTCATGCAAATTACATTTTTTTCATGGGTTCATTTCTCAGAACTGTCAAAGCTACACAAGAGAAAAAGACTTCCAGTATAACACCAGCAATACAGGAACACACAGAAACTGTCACTCGGTTATTGTAAGCACATTCCCCTCATGAAATACCATGTCCTGGGTACTCTAGCATGCTTATCACTTGGCCTAAATATTAATAGGTAACCAGCTATTGTTAAAATGGGCTACTATTTTATCATTACTTAAATTATAAAGATTTTTTGTTCTCGTTTCTTTCTTTAAAAATAAAATGCACATCTGAATTTACATGTGGTTTCCATATTCCAAAAGAATAGTAGTGCTAAAATCAGATCGGGCCCTTCTGATCCCTGTGGCTAAGCACAGAAACTCTCTGCAACAAGATTTCCACGCTGCTGAACCTGGGAAAACACAGTTCTTATTTTTCAGTGTCCCAGTCCCTGACCAGTTCCCTTCCCAGCAGTGAGGTAAAGCCCACTTTCTTCATAGCAGTAATTCCAGGACCAAACAGCTGTGAATTCACATGCAGAAATCCTCTGATTTTTCTTCTTTCAGCAGTTGTTTTGCCAATATCCACCACTTTACTCCTTTATATTAACTGCCAGTGCATTTCCCAGCAATTACTTAAATGAAAACAAAAGGATTAATAAGCAGGATTATCATTACACGGTGATTTATGTCTGATCCAAATTCTCTGGCTGGAACAAAGCTTCATTGTTTTGGCGCATTCTGCTCATGTACTGTATTTCACATCTCGC